TAGGTCCTTGATCCAATTTGAGTTCCATCCTCTCATACCCTTTGATGTAATGACAATTAGCAGTTTTGGGCATGGGGAGAGATAGGGGTTTAATTTCATTTTGCTATATATGGATTTCCAGTTTTCCTAGCACCATTTGTCATGAACCTACTTAATATAGTCTCGACTTGTGCAGTATCAATGGACCACCTATTTCTTCCCAGGATATTGAGTAATAAAAATTTTGAAGAGGGCTGGGGTTGTAGATCAGTGGTAGAGCATTTGTCTTACATGTGTGAGGCACTGGGTTTGAACCTCAGAACCACATAAAAATAAATGAAGATACTGTGTCCATATACAACTAAAAAAATATTAGAAAAAACACCTGATGAAATCCTAAAATCTTCCTGATGAAGATTGCTATCAGAGGAGTACCAGAGAAAAAGAGTGTTCCTACCTTTGTGCTGTTGTTACCTATGATTTAACCGTGCTTATTTTTTAAATTATTTTTTTGAGAAAGGGAATTTATTTCAATAGAGGAATTATCACTTTAGTTTATTTTAAAAAAGAGAATTTTTCAATGGTAAGATAATATAAAATAGGAATTAATTTGTCTAAACATTCTGATTACTAGAAAGTTTATTTTTGCAAGAATATAAGGATTTCAAATATAACTGCTTTGATTTTCCTATCTAAAATTAGAAATATCTCAGAATCCTTATTCCTACCATATAAACATGTGCAAAGCACTTAAATAAAATAAATGTATTCTTTAAAGACATTTTTTAGTTGTAGATAGACACAATATCTTTTTTTTTAAAGAGAGAGTGAGAGAGGAGAGAGAGAGAGAGAATTTTTATTTTTTAGTTCTCGGCAGATACAACATCTTTGTTGGTATGTGGTGCTGAGGATTGAACCCGAGCTGCACGCACGCCAGGCGAGCGCACTACCGCTTGAGCCACATCCCCAGCCCAAGACACAATATCTTTATTTTTATTTTATTTACTTTTTATGTGATTCTGAGGATTGAACCCAGGGCCTCACACATGTGGGGCAAGCACTCTACCACTGTGCTATAACCTGAGGACTAAACTTATTCTTTTATCCTACGTCCCATTCCAAAGCCAACTTCTGAAGAGTTGTTTGATTTCTTTTCTTGTCATTTCCCATTTGCTCTTCAAAAAGATTAATTATAGAGCACTGCCCTCTTATCCACAGAAGATTCTCTCTCTAAGATCCTTAAGAATCACTGCTTTTCCTAACTTTTATATACTTAGGCCTAATCTTATTTTATCTCTCAGAGACATTCCAACTAATGAATACTCTCTTATGAATACCATTGATTTAACATCATTACTTTTTTCTGGTGCTCCACCTGTATCTATGACAACAAAAAGATTAAAATACGCTATGCTATTGTGGCATGTCAACCATTTAAGTTAAAAACACTTGAAAAACAGCAGGTGTAAGAAGATCACTTTGACTTTTACACGATTTCTAAAAAGCATGAAAAAGGCATACTCTATACAGAAAAAAAGGAAGAAAGAAAGAAAATAAAAGAAAAAGAAAAGCAATATCCTTATTTTCAAAGACAAGAAGTTGAGACCAAGAAAACGCTGTACAGATCTTTTCCGCACACCTCCTACCTGTCAAGTCTCCCCTCTAATTGAGACACATTTTCAGTTTATCATTCTTTGTTCACTCTGGTATACAGATAATCCTAACTGCTTCTTTGGGTATTCATTTCTTCATGGGTGCTTAACACTTTGCCTTTCTCCTTTTTCATGTATCTAATGTCAATCCAAGCACTGGACCCATCTGGGACCCTAAGAGGGCAGAGGTAAAAATTTTCTGCCTCAACAACCATATCTTCTCAGTGTCTTTCAGAGTTTGTGTGTTCTTAATTGTCCCTTAGATGTTCCCTTAGATTCTGTCTGCCATATTTTATTCCATCTGCACACCCAGCTTCAATCATCATGTACTGATGACCATGTACTTTTTTTTTTTAAATCATTCTCCTGAGCTCCATATATCCATTTCTAAACATGTTTGGAGCATTTCCAAACTACCATACATCTAAGCTTGGAACTAAAGTCTTCTCCTTAAGGGTCATTCTCCTCCTATATTCCCAATGCAAGAAGTGGCACATTAGCTGTCCCAATGCCAAATCAGAAACATGAAACTCATTCTTGATTCCTCTCTTCCTCATCATCTGTCTTGTATCTCTTTATAATATTCTCCCACACCATGATCGAGTCAATCCCTTTATATTTGAACGGCATCATCTTTGAACCAATCTCCTTTCCCCCTCTAATCTACTCTATATAGTGCATAAAAATTGTTGTTCAGCATGGATATGATGGATCAGGGCTCTTCAAGATCTGGTCCCTCTAGAATTCTATGTTTCTTACCACTGACTCAATTCTAATAATAAAAAATATACTTCACTCACATGACTTTTTTGAAACATTCCTCACTTAAGTCAAGTATCTTGGTTTTACTTGTTTAGTGACTACTTGTCTTTCCAAGTTTTGCTGTGATTTTTTTTTCTTTTTAAAATTTATAGACTGCAGCACCATAGTTGGGAAGTGTGCTATGTGTTCTATAGCACAACGTGTTTATCCCTGGCATAGAACTTAAATGTTCACACTTTTGACTTACTGTCTCCTTTAGTAATGTAAAAAGCATCTACAACCTGACCTGGGACAGTGCCATATTCATCTGTATCATAAATGGATGAATAAATGTGAGTTTACAAAATGCCATTCTCAAGCAATAGTGGAGACAGAAATAAACTATTATGCCTTCAAATGTTTGATAAATTGTGGGATCATTCAGTGCTTCATTCTGGAATTCTGCTGTAGAGTTTTGCCTTAGTTGTTAAGTTTAAATCTGGAATGCCCCACAAAAGATTAGGTGTGGAAGGAGACATAGAAGTGTCCACAGATGGGATTCTAAGGTAATAATTAGTGAGGACTCTAACCTCATCCGTGGATTAATTCATTTGATGGATCCATAATTTAAATGGTGGTAACTATAGGCAGGTGGGAACTGGTAGGAGGACATAGGTCATTAAGGATGTAGCCTTGGGGACTATATCTTGTCCCTGGTCTCTTTCACCTCCTCTGTCTCCCTTTCCCCTGTTTCCTGGCTGCCAGAACCTGAGCAGCTATCCTCTGCCACACCCTTCCATCATGATGATCTGACTCACCACAGGCCCAGAGGAAGGGAAGTGCTAACCATTGAGTGAAATCTCTGAAAATATGAACCAAAACAAAGCTTTCCTCTCTTAAGTTGTTTATGCCAAATATTTTGGTCACATGAATGAAAAGTTCACTAATACTAATCTATTCCTAGTGTGAACTTATTTCCCTTTAGGATCAGAAGTTTATGTGACTGACAAGTCAAACTCCACCTTTGTAACGAATGCCTAAAATTACAAGGACACAGAACTTTCCTTGTACACAAAGCACTCTACCAACTGAGCTATACCCCAATGGAACTTAATATGATTTATGCCAAGCCAAATCATATTACAGCCCTGATGGGAACAGGCAGGAGTAATTTGGCTAGGTTTCTCCTTTTGATTCACTTCCATTTGCTTACCTTATCTCTAAAAAAATATTACAAGACCTGACAGATTGTCTTCATCACAAAGAGAATATACCAGTGGGAAAAAACAGGGAGGCAGACCACAAATCTCCAAGCCTACATCAAGAAAAACATTTCATAGACTTAAGGTTAAAGTCTAAACATCCAAACGCTGTCTCCCTTTTCTTTCATTTATTTTTACTCCTTTTCCAATAGTCATCAGAATTCCAAATGTGCGCTCTAATTAGGACACTGAAATAGACTTTTATTTCTTTTCCTACTTCCCTCTTACCATGACATCCCAAAATGATTTTTACTATTATAAAGTGTAGGATCATTAACATGCTTTATGGACCTTTATCACTGTTGCCCTTGCCAAAAGAATATAATAAAATATAAAAAAATAAGCAAGCAAAAAACCAATTAAATAAAATGTTAATGTTTTTTGGACCTCACTATGATTAGGTCCTCAGCTGTAGAAGTATGTAATTACTTTTTAACTAACATTCTTCCTTCTCTATGTGACATGGGCTAAGTATAATAAAAATAGAAGGTCTATGCAGGGCTTGGGTTGTCACATGCATTTGCTCAAATTCTCAGAGTCATTTTTTAAAATTAATTAATTAATTTATTTGTACAGGAGCTCTCATTCTTATTATTATTATTTGCATTACAATTCTTAATACACCTTTATGCCACATAATATACAAGACATCTGTATACAAGATATGTTGACACCAAATTCACATCTTCATACATGCATTTTGTACAATGATGAGGGTCTCAGAGTCCTTTAAATTAGGTATTACTGACCCCATGACATGGATGATGAAACTGAAATTGGCAGCTTTCAATTTCCTTTCCAAGCTCACACAGGTAGTTCATATCCTTGGGACTTACTTTTCCATGAACACTTAGCAACATAATGTCTACCCAGGTCCAGATCCAACCCTTACCTATATGTATTCATTAAAGTCAATATTTATCTATAGGCCTTGATTTGAGCCATTCTGAATTTTTAAGGTGAGAAGAAATTATGATGATATTTTTAGAACCATTTCTATAAATGTTTTTAAAAGATAAAATGTATATCATATATAATATATATTATAATATATATATGTATATATATATATGTGTGTGTGTGTGTGTGTGTGTACACATATATGTATCACCATCCTCTATTAGAATGAACTAGACACAAAAGGAAATAAAAATTGTAACAGAAATTGCTATAACTACAGAGTACTGCCATAAATGGTAAGCAAGACATACATTCTTTCTTTAGGAAGATAACATAAAAAAACTACATTATTGATGATAGGATCATGGCATGACTCTGGAGAACTTTGTTTCATCTGTCAGACTCTCTCTATCATTTCAAAATGGCATTTCTTCCCTGACACACTGAGTTAGTGAAAATAACTCACAGCAGCTGGATTCATCTTCATTAAAGTGACAGTCGGGCACTCCGTCACATAGCAGGAGAGATGGGATACACTGGTCTGCAGAGCACTGGAACTCCATGTTACCACATGGCTGAGAGGGTCTGAGGGGACAGTCCATTTCATCAGATCCATCAAGGCAATCTTCCTGTCCATCACACTTTCCTGAGATAGGGACACACTGGAGAGTGTAGATACATGCAAACTGATCAGCTTCACAGAGTGATGGCTGTATTGTGACGGGACCTAAAAAGAAAGCAAGTCAAGTCATGTTGGCATTAAGATAGTTTTCTTGAGGTCCAATATTGAAAACTTTCAGGATATATTTACTTTTGTATAAATATGAAACATTTTGGTAATTTAAGCCGATTAATTTCCAGTTAGGAAAAATGATCCCTACTCTATGCAAAAGTAATTAGAGAGTATGCCTTATCTTAATCTTACCAGCAACATTTTTTAAAAGGGAATGGTAGACAATGAAATGGAAACTTTTAAATTATAGAAGAAATTTTTATTCAGAGTACCTGGATTTGACCATGAAATCAGATTTCCAAGGAAAGACATTTTTTTTTCACAGTAAATTAGGTAATTTGGAAAGATGCACTTATAGTTTTAGAATTTAAGGGTATTGTTATTATATCTATATATGGTTTATTCACTGTCTCTTAATGGCTGTTCCTGGGGAATCTAGCTCCTGAGACTCTGTCCAGGGTAGAGTCACAGAAGTTGCAGTTTGCCATGGTTTCATCATAGTAGATTTTGCTCAGATCTTGATTCCTGCCAAAAGGCCATGTATTGTCATATCTAACATAGAGATAAAATCACAGTTCAATCTAAAATATTGCACTAGAAGAGATCTTGAAGGTAATCTGGTTTAAATCCAACCCACTCATTTTACACCTAAGGATATCAAGTCCACAAAATTAAGTAGCAAAAACTCAGTGCTACTTTTGTAATCTTTCATTATACAGATTATTTTGTGGCAAAATATTGAGTCTACACTAAGTTAAATTTAATCATGGACCAAGAATGTTGGTCTTCATATTGACTAGCTGATGCTTCTTGAGGTCAATCAATGTATATAATTATGAAGGATTATTACTAATTTATTGAAACATTGCTCCTGAGACTGATCTTATGCTTTGTGTTGTTTTTATACAAATTCCTGGTGAACTCATGACTCTAGAGGAAAAATGAAAAAATAGAGCCACACAGCAATGGGGACCAGTTCAGGAACAGTTTGTTTGCTGAAGCTATATTTATTTGTGGATTTTATGAGAATAGTTTGCTTTATACAGAAAGATGGTGTGGTGAATTTATTTTAAAAATTAGATTTGAGAGCTCCTTTCCTGCTTACCCAGTAGTGGAGATATATCTAGACTATAGTTAGATTCTGATGTCGTGGTCAAAGTCATGTATGTGAAATCTATGTGGCCATGTTTCTAGCGTCTGTGTTCATGGAAAATGTCATATGTAAGCAAGGGAGCAATCATATGACTGTGGGACATGATATCATGCTCCAATCTTACTCTCTGAGATAATGTTAGCATATACAGATGCAGTGTTCCAATGAACAAATTCCAAACTTAAACATAGAAAGTAAATTGGATTTAAATTTCATACCTTTATGTATAGTTCTTTTAATATTTAACCATGATCAAATAAGTGGATTTTTATTCATTCTTTTCATTAAATTAATCTCATAGTTAAGGAAGGGCAGACATTCTCAATTATATTTTTCAAAAAATATATAATGCCTGAAAATATCATCTTTGTTAACTCTAGTGGTTGAAAAGATTGAATAAATTTTTTCATGTGATGAAAATCTAGAATTAACTTTAGCAATATGCCTAGTACTTAGCTAAGGCAATATACTAACAAACAAACAGAAAACCCACAGGGAGAGTAATTTTCTTTAAGACAAACAGATTCCTATGCTTCCAAGACCCTATTCAGAATGCACTTTTGTGTGTGTAGGTTATTATACATTTTCCTTATATCAGAGATGCGAATATAAAATTCTCCTTTATTTAGAGATATAAATTGCATTAAATTCCATAATTATTTTATTAAAATGTATTTGTTCCAGGTCTTTCTTTTCAAGGAAGCCAGTGGGCTTTTACAGCATACACTTGATCCTGTCTTGTGCTCTTCAGGTTAGCCATTCAAGATCAAGGTGTACTTCCCCCACTTGCTGGGAAAGCTGCCAGATGACAGCTCACAGTTGAGCCCAGCTCCAGACATTGCTCTCCAAAGTTATATACCCTCCAAAGAATGGCTTTATTCATTGACTTGTGAAGTGAGAGAGGATGGCTCAGGCCCTGTGCTTCAACACGAGGCCTCTACCAAGCGACAAAGCAGCTTTGGAGCTCCCCACAGCACTGGCAGAGGCCACAGTGCACCTGCATCATGGCTCAACATCCTCCACCCCACGCCTCACACATTCTGCTTCCTTTTCTCCTTTGCAGGGGATGCTCCTAAGAGAATTTCCAGTACAATCTCTATGAAGGAATTTGCCTCAGAGTTGGCTTCCCAGAGAACCTGATCTAAGGCACTATCGAGTCTTCAAATTCATCTTGTTTTAAATTACATCCCCTCTGAATTGCTTCTCAAAATTTCCATTGAAATATTTCTGATATTTGAGGAACATAAATTTTTCACTCCTAAAGGGAGTCTAGGTAGGTTCCGAGCTAGAAACAATTCTCCATTAGCTCAATATTTCATCTGAGTCTTTTGTTTTATCCAAATGAGAATTTTGCATTATGCTACATATAGACATTTTTAGTATAAGTGGATTTCTCCAGTATTGCAATAAAACTAAAACTCCTAGAAGATGTACTATACTCATCTTTTGATTTGAATACAGCCTGCTGTGTGCACTCTCTGAGAAATGTTGACAGTGAAAAAAGCTTCCCTAAAATTGTAATTTTAATGGATTTATTCTTAGGTGCCATCTAGGGAGATAGCTGGTCATTAAAGGTAAATTTAACTCTGTAAAATTGAAACAATATTAATAATTTTCTTTTTGTAGTCTAAAAAATCTCAACACTACCTTAAATTCATATTACTAGGTGAAAGAAGACAATCTGACAAGGCTACGTATTGTCTGATTCCAAATCTATGACATTCCAGAGAAGACTGTAGGATTAAAGAGGTCAGTTGCTGCTAGAAGTTGGGGTGAAGGTGGGAGGAGAGGTGAGGATGAATAAGGAGGAAGAGCACAGGTTTTCACAGTAGTAAAACTATTCTATATGAATCATTCTAAACTATTCTCTATAAACCATATGAATGGTTCATTTTCCATGAAACTATTATGTAGGAAACTTTTCTATATGTGTTATCATATATTTGTCAAAAAATCTATAGAATTGTCAACACCAAGAGTGAACGCTAATATAAACTATAGATTTTCGGTAATAATGATGTGTAGGGCAGGTTCACCTATATTTAATATAATAAATGTACCATCTTGGTATGGGTAAATAAATTTGTGGAGGCTGTGTGTATGTGTGGAGGAAATTTCTGTTTTCTTCTTAATTTTGCTATGAATCTAAAAATTCTATAATATATGAAAGTATATATAACATATATATACTTATATTATATACATATAATATACATAGCATATATACTTATATACATATAATATACTTATAACACATATATGGTTATATGTATATACATAAAATATACATGTATATCTCTCCACACCTTTTATATATATAGAAAGAGAGAGAAAGAGAGAGAGAGAGATAGACAGATAGTAGTATATACAGATACTAATATCACTTAGAACCTATATGACAACCTGTAATTCATGTTCAATGCTTCACTCTTAAAATTTCTATGTTGTAATCTCTATAAATCTCTTTTAAAAGGCAGACATTTTAAAACACACAACATTTTAAATGCACAATATCTTGATGAATGCGTGGTGTGCTGATGAAGTACATTGTCCTCTCTTACCATGCCCAATAAGCAGCTTAGACAGGCCACTTAAAACCAATGGTACCAAGGCAAAGGCCAGTGACTTTACAGAGAAGTGGTGTCAGATCAGGCTTATCCATCATTAGCTGACTTGGAAATGTGCGTTATTGTTCATCATATGAGCTGGTTACTATATGAAAGAGTGTAACAAGCTCAGGGTAATACTGAAATGTACATCAGGGAAAAACAGCCAGGTTGTGATGATAGTCCTTTTATACCTCAAAGAATCTAGTTAAACTAGAAGGATAAAGGAAAGTAACAAAGAAATAGGCACACAGAATTGTTAGTGATTGTGATGGAGAAGAAAGATGAGAAGAAAGACAGTCCAAAAATGTTCATTCATTTTGACACCAGGATTCATTAGGCACCTTAAGGGTATTTTGTTTCTTGTTTTGTTTTGAGTTAACATTTCTCAAGCTACATCCAAATCATGGGTAAGATATAGAAACAATGCTAGGGGCAGGAAGAAAAAAGAGACTTCTATGAAAACTTGTATGCTTTAAGGGAATGTTTCTCAAAAAGAGTATCACAAGTTTTAAGTGAGTTAGAATCAATAATAAAATATATCCTATCTATATTTACTCTTTTTATATTGGAGATGATTCAAGGCTATACCAACAATAAAGTTTCTCTTACTTGTATCCTATAAATATCCTTCCTTTGGTGGAGAACAATGGTCCAGATTTATAGCTATTATCTGGAAAGTGCATATAAGGCACTACTCTCTGGGGTGAATTGCACAGGTGGTGTGAAAAGCATATGACAATCAGCCATTATATGTTTCAGCAAGAAATGAGTTAGGAAATGCTGCTTTAGAGTTCAGGGTAGTACTGTGCAAATTAGTTTGAGAAAAAAGGATTCTAAAACAACAGAAAAATCTTATCTTCAAAGGTACATAGTGCCTTCAAGAATTTCAACTGAATCATTACAATAGCAATTTGCCAGGTTTCTACCTTATCAAAGCCTAGATCTCACACAGAACCAAGACGCTCCAAATTAGAGTTGGGCATGGTTTTACCCCTATATGAGAACACAGTAATATCTTAATACCCAATAGTATTAGTGACATTAGGCATGTGTTTAATAAATATTTTCTATATTGATGAATAATAAGTCAATGGTTTAAATATTAATTATACTTTCCTTGAGAACTAATGTGGAGTTAAGCAAAAATAGATGAAGTACAGAGTGTATCAACTATTGACCAGTTCTGTTGATTTAATAAACCACTGTTGTAAAAGGGCAGATCAGCAAAATGG